CTCAAACATTTTGCTAAATATTTACTATAAAACTGCCCAAGCTGAAAGTGCAGACTCTGTCTCAAACATTTTCAACTAAAAATTTACAGTCAACAATGTCCAAGCTGATAGTGCAGACTCTGTCTTAAACATTTTATTAAAGATTTACAGTGAACAATGCCCAAGCTGAAAGTGCAGACTCTGTCTTAAACATTGTACTAAAGATTTACAGTGAATAATGCCCAAGTGCAGACTCTGACTTAATTAATTAAACATTTTACTAAAGATTTACAGTGAAAATTGCCGAAGCTGAAAGTTCAAAGTGAAGACTCGGTCTTAAACATTTTACAGTATAAACTGCCTTCGCTGATAGTCTAAACGTTACTTACCAATTTTTTGTTTCCATAAAGTGGTGCCAGAAACTGTAAGAACATGTATATTATACGATATTTCACCAGAGAATCATTCACAGTTTGAATATGCTCTTTACACTTGACAATATAAAAAATGCAGTAATTCGAAATTTTTAGCTTTAAAATGCGATTGAAAGACAACAACATCGCCAATTAATGTTTTTCTTGTAACCTTTTCCAAAAAAGCTGCGATTTCAAGGCGAACATATCTCAAAACGGTATTTTTAATCCACAAATGCAGAAAAGTATAGTACTTTCTATAGCATTTCACTGATGAGTGGGAACGACCAATATGGCCGCCGCTTATTTTCATGGGGGAAACCGCTGAGATTTTTGGCTTCAATTTTGTATTCTGAGATGCGCTATCTAGTGTATATGAGATATCTATGGTTACGCCACTGTAAACAACAGTATTCTAGCGATTTATGGCCTTTATCTTTAAAATCCAAGCGAAATTGTATTGCGAACGAATCGCTCAAAACTATTCAACTAATTATAAAAAATGCAGTACGTTTGATCCTTGATAACTTTGGTATCGTTGGTTTTCTCTTTTTCGGCCATATACCAGTGGATTTGTCTCACTTCTCTCTTCGTTTTGATAGTATTTTGAGCCCAAAAGCCCCAAAATATTTTATTTTGAACGTAATTTTATTTTGAACGCGCAGTTTAGTATTTGTATGTCTGATTGTATAAAATCCTGAACTGGGTCATTATATTAACAGAAACTTCAAAACTGAGCCTCCTACCTGCAATACAAACCTAGCCAATTTGAGAGCGGCAGCACTCTCCCTTTGACAAGCAAAATCGACTGGTATGAGACATTAAACTAATAAAGTAGGGTGCATGATTGTATGGGGCACAATGCAAGTCAGTGGGATATAAATAACAATATTATAACATGGTATTCACCTAAATAGACAGCAGTGTTATATGTTGATATAGTTCAAAACAGAGTGAACAAAACTGTAACTGAAAAGTTTAATCTTCAACTCTTTCGCGCTCGTATTCGACTTTTCCGCTTAGCTTGGGACAACCAAGGGACAACCTTAAATCTTAATTAAAACAACTGTATACTGCATGCATGCATGCATGTATCATATACGGTAATGTGCGTGTTTGTATAGCCCCAGCGAGTTAACGCTCTATAGAGCGTCTTGTTTTAAATAAAACACTGTCTAGACGGCCTGGCGTCAAGGATAATGATTGGATAATATTTTTAGAATATGATGCATTAAGCCATTATACATTTTTTGCATTTCTTATCCGAACCAGGAATCGCTAACAAATTCACCAGAGGTTTTTCCTTTTTCTTCGTGCGTTTTCTCGCATTTCGCGTTCGCCAAACCTAAAAAAACTCTGGGCCAGGGTAAAATTACAAGGGAAATGTTTGACAAAACAATAGGAGTAAATACGGGAAAAGTATTTGCTATAAGGAAACGGCTGAAGCTATAAGGCAAGGGATTTCAGCGCTTTTTGTACCTGCGAAGCAGATATATATGCTATCGCAAACGTACCGTACCGTACCGTATGTTAACAGATAGCCATTTAGCGACGAGCTTATATAATTTAAGGCAATTTAAGCCAATCAGCGATCAGGTTACACGGTGGCCGTAGAAGACACGAAATTCGGCAAGGGTCGAATAACTTTCTGTCGTTAGTTCGGAATATCACGAAACTTCCTCACAGGATGGAATTTGACATTCCTGAAAATCCTATGTTTTTTGTTTTTCGATATTGTTACATTTTGGCGGGAAAATGACGTTCCAACTTTGGCGCCAAAAAAATAAACAGCAGCTAAGAACATGCCAAGAAATTTTTTGAAGAGATTGTCTCATAAGGATCTCAAAACTGCAAAAACATTGAACATACAACAAGGCAGTCCGAAGATATGGCAATTCGAATTTCGAAAAAAATCTATTTTTAGTAACAAAATGGCGGATTTTTCAGATTTTTAAGCACCATATCTCTGCATTGCTTTGGCGTATGTTCAATGTTTTTACAGTTTTGAGATCCTTACAGTACAATCTCTTCAAAAAAGTGACTAGCATGTTCTTAACTCAAATTTAATTTTTTGGCGCCAAAGTTGGAGCTTCATTTTCCCGCCAAAATGTAACAATATCGAAAAACAAAAAACATACGATTTTTAGGAATGTCAAGTTCCATCCTGTGAGGAAGTTTTGTGATATTCAGAACTAACGACAGAAAGTTAGTCGACCCTTGCCGAATTTCGTGCCTCTTACGGCCACCGTGTTACATCAATTGTTTACGTCGTGCCCGCATCTAACCTGCGAACGGACATACTTTGGCCTCGTGTAGTCGTGTTATTCTTTCAAAAATATCTTGATATTTTTATCAATTTTATCAATTTATCAGTTGAATTGGCTGTCTTGTTTTTTCGCTATTCTACTTGCGATATTATTCCGAAGTTATCTATCAACATGGAATCTTATCCTCATCTGGTAAGTAGTCAAATACCACAATACCAAATACCAAATTTGTGCAAATATATATCCCACATATTTTATAATACATGAGTTCGGCAAATTATTATAAGTAATATCATGAAATGAGGAGTATTAGTCATTAAACCACCCGCTCGACTCGGGTCATTTATTAAAATTCCCTCGGGCCGTAGGCCCGAGGGAATTTTAATAAATGACCCGAGTCGAGCGGGTGGTTTAATGACTAATACTCCTCATTTCATGATATTACTTTGTAATATTATTTTTGCGTGAATTTCACCCAAATCAGTGTTCAGACACTGTCAATGATGTCGGCGGAGCGTTATAGTATATCATAATTTTGTGATAATTTTGCTCAAACTTTCCAGGTGATGTGGTAATACTAATACGACCTGTAGTGACGTCAACTGAGGTCGTATTAGTTCTAATACGACCTGTACATTTGAGTAGGCGAGTGAATTAGTTACTAATACAGCACAATAGAACAATAGAAATTCACGCAAACATGATATTACTATACTATCTATAGTTAATATTGCCGTATCTTCGGCGTAGAGTGTACATGAAATGCATTCTGGAATTTTTTTATTAATATATTACACTGTATAAAATATTGGATATTTTCGAGGATATTTTAAGCCATTTGTCAACATAGTTCACAAAAAGATTTATACAGTAAAGCAATCCTTCTGTGACTTCTGTAATATTTTAAACAGTCAAAACATGCATAGCAGGCATGCAATATTGCCAATGAACAATATCAAAGGAAACTATAATGTCTCGAGAGATATTGAATTAAATCCTGGTCGTGTATTTCTGTATAAACTCTGTTCAAAACAACAGTCCAACTACTAAGCTGTCATCAAATGTAGTGTTGGGAGTTAAAGATGTTATCAGTTTACAATACTTATACATTTTGGTTTTACACATTAGAGTTTATAATTAAACAAAATTTTTACAAACATTTTCAAATGCTAATAAAAGAATCCCCACCCTCCTGGGCCTCATTACATTGTCATTTTGCTTTCTGACATAAATGTTTTTGTTTAGAGATTGATACAAGAATGATGAATAAATTTACTGGATATTGGCTGGATAGTTTTGTCTGAACAACCCACTTGCAAGACAATCTTACCTAAATGCATTAGCATGGAAAATAACTTATCAGCTACAATGAATGAATGAATGATTATATAATATATGGATGGATCTGATCAATGGCACACAATGTACAAAACTAAACTTGTGATACCCTCTACTCAAACAGATTTTCTCCCACAACACAAATTATTTTTGTGTGGATATGCTGTGTTAAACCGAACAGTGCGGTATATCATTAACTGGGCACAGGACTGGAATTGAATTATATACTTCACTCATGACCTTCAAAACATTCTGTATTATTCAGTGGTCTTCAATATATGACTGACCTCTTTGCTACAGTAATGCATGTTCCTCAAATAGTTTGTGTATGTTAGTCAACAGTTAACATTGGCAAGTGTAAACAACAAGTGACAGAACTTTTGCTTCATATGATTACAATAATTAAGTTTTGAAAATTTGAGTATGGATTGAATTCACAAGTGGCAGTTTACTAAATAGCTGGCTTTATAGACACTTCAAATATTGTTTGCATGAAATTTTTATTTCCTTACTGCATAATTATCTGTTACAATCATATAAAATAAAAAAAACACATTATAAAATCATCACATTATAAAATTGGTTAAATTTTCTTGGTGGTGGGAGGGCGGGGGGGGGGGTGTCAGTTGCCCTCCCCGCTGTGTACAGTATTGCTAGATGTGTATTTTGTTTGACTTTAAAATCTTATTTACTATTATATTTATTATAATATGTTATGAAATATTTCAATTGTCCATGTCATCTTCATTATTCAGTTCCTTTCAACAAAAATACAAAATGTGAATCAAGTTTTTTTTGCAGATGCATGTACGCGTCGCGTACCTATTTTTCCTTTTATAAAAGCGAAGTTATACTGAATTTAAACATTCGTAATTTTAGCTCCACCTTGGCTTCACTTTTTGGATTCTCACTTCATATATGCACATTACATTGATTACGCCCTGCTCGGGAATAAATGACACTAATTTTGAAAATTCCTTGTTTAGATCCTACATCATGCAAAATGGTGAAGGAGTCGGGACTAAGTAATGGTGATGGTGAATATGACTTGTATCTGTTACTTCCCAACTGTTCACAAAAAGCTCGAGTGTATTGTGCTGATATGAACACAGATAACCCATTAGAATATATCACATTGTCTGCTGGCAGGGATACTAACTATGCACTGAATAATCGTCTACCCAATGGAGAATATCACTCGAAACATGCCAAGACGGCATACGATAAGGTTCGTAATTGACTTGCAACCATTCTCGTCCCCAGAACAATTTTCAATCCGTCACTCGTTGAAATAATTTTCTGGTTTAGACGACTAAAAGGCGAGATTTAATTGGCTTCTCCGAGAACTGCTATTTCGTAGAAGTTTAGCAGTTTTTGCTAGGCAAAGTTATTCTATCAACATACATGTCAACACAAATGCAGTACTTCGTTCCTTCGTCATACTTCACTGTGACAATTGTTACGAATGCTACAGCGTCCCAATTCAAGAGCATGCGCTTTAGAAACTACTGCAAGTTTTCTTGCACTTCCAGTTCCGTGTGTTCCCGGGCCTAGGCAGGACGCGAGAGGCCCTGGGGGTGAGGTGGCATGCAAAGCCTAGTCCCAGGCTTTCCCGCGTCACTAGATTGGTTTTAAACCCAAGCTGAAACCCCGAGTCCGCAATCATCTGCATGTGGAGGTTTGCTGAAGCCCTGGGAAACACCAGCAAAAGTCAGGCTCTGATTGTTTAAAATCTTGTTAAATTCTCCAATTCGGATTGAACTTCGCCTTGTACATGATCAAATTGCACGGACTTGAAATCTAGCCTAGTCCTTAAAGTTGGATTTGAAATATTACATAACCTATTGTAGGCGGTCTGATCGGTCGGAAGAGCAAAAATGGTTCCAAGAACGGTAGATTTGCGAATTGTGCTCGTGTCAGTACCATTTGGGGTACATTTTTGTGTGCATCATTTCATTTAACTTAAAACAGTATTTTGTTTTAGATACGTCTTGAAGTGCCATCACTAAATGTCTTGATAGGGGATTCAAGGTTTTCTGTACAGATAGAAGGAACATACATAGAACGGTACGCTACAGCTAAGGATTGCATGTGGGCTGCCTCTTGTGAAGCTTACAGACAAAACAAGCATGGGAAAACTGAAGCTGATCTCACTGGAACGGATTTTAAATTCCCATCGTCTATTCCTTATAATACTAATTCCTGGCCAACTTGTGCTAGCGGCTGGCTTGCACCAACCATGAGTGTGGATCGAAAGAAATGGTCAGTTCGTTGTGGTGGTTATTGTGGCGGCTGTAAGCCTACGTCCCTTGTTCTTGAGCTTGATGCTTGCTAATATTATTAAACCAGAAGATTGCGTTTGATAGGGATTCAACTACATCAAAAATACAAGTATAAAACTTCAACGTTTTGAGCGAAGGCTCTTCGCCTACTAACTTCTCAACGAATGATCTTTTATTTGCATGTACTTCTTCAGTTAATTGAATCCCTATATCCAGGGGCGTCGGGGTGGCTCGAAAAGTGGGGGCGGGTGCACACTTAGCGCCCGCAGAAGGCGGGTGACATTAAAGGAAGGTCTGGAGGCATGCCCTCCGGAAAAATTTTAAAACTAAAGTCTCTGAAATGCCATTTCCTGCACTTTAGAACAGAAAGGGACGCCGGAAAGGGGGGCGCAGGGGGCATCGCTTCCCTTGCCCTTTAGTAAGGGGGGCAGGGGCCAGGGGAAATGAAATATTAATTAGTGATTACCCTTACGTCAACATTGTGCCCCGTGCCTTACTCTGCCTCCGGCGTCCCTATCTAAAGGTAACAAATGTTATAAAATATCTCAAATTGTTTTTACTACATGCATAACTGAAATAATATCAATTAATTTAGTGGTTTATTGTTGACCATTGTTAAAAAGTGTGGGGGAAGGGAGGGGGCAAAGACATTTAGGCTTCCCAACTAAAAAAGTTAGGAGTGGCCGTCCCTCGCTTCCGACGCCCTTGCCTATATCAATCCGCAGTTTCTGTTGTTTTTGTTACAACCCATAAGCTGGCACAAACCTTTTGAGTATTATTATACTGTATAATTATATTGCACTCATAGGCGTACGGGACGGGGGGGGCAGGGGGGCAGCTGCCCCCCCCAAACAGATTACAAAGTCGAAAAGACGGGCAAATGTTCAGCAAAAGTCGGGCTAAAGTCGGGCAAAAAGTAGTCAAAACAAGAAAATCTCCCTTACTAATAACGCCAGTTTGTTGGACAAACAAAGCCAGTTGGGCAATATTCGCTTCTCGGTCGGGCAATATTTGGTTATTATAAAAATAAATGGGACAATTCTGTCATTTTTGTGGGAAATTATGTCAATTTTTCGATTTTTGGGAAAATTTGTTTGATGTTCCGAAAAATTTTGGTATGCCCGAAAAATTTTTTGACCCCTAAAATGGTACACTGACAGAAATGTTTTTGGCCAGGGGGGGAGGTCGCCAAAATAAATTGTTCCGGAAAAAAAATTTTTCGGCATTTGTCGGGCATAATCCGAAAAAGTCGGGCAAATTTCTTTCTGCCCCCCCCCCAAATTCTTTCCTTCCCGTACGCCTATGATTGCACTTTTATATTGAGAAAAGATGTTCAAGATTTATTACTAAGCAGAACTCTTAAAATTATTATGCACCAACAGGCAACAATATCCTGTACGGTGTACCAACAAATACACAACGTAAAATTATTTTCAATGCACTTCCAGATTTTGTGTTATTGACGCAAATTATAAAATTACTAGTTGCGATCACTACTACATTTCCATGGATTGTTGAATGATTGTTTCGCCAAGTTTATCACATGTTGTTTTAAAAGACACAATTTTGTCGATATTAATTAAAGCAAAGCAAAGCAAAGTTGAAATGTTTGTCTGCTGTATACAACACAATTTTTACGTTAGGCTGCCATCTTTGTTTTGCTTTTAGCAATTCTCCAGCACCCTTTTTAGAGCAGAAAGAAAGAAAAGCTGGTTTATTCTTGTTGCTATACACTCAGTCTTTTAATTTATCTAATAATCAATTTTTCGTTACTAAAATGATATCATGCAGGATAATAAAATAAATTATAGGACACTAGCTGACGTCACAGTCTAAACCTTGTTGCAATTTGTGACGTCACGCGTATTGCCAAAGTTATTTTTGTTGTTTCGCTATATTTCCGCTTTAATTAAGGGGGGCCGACTATTTAACTTTTGAGGGGGGCGGGGGAGATTTACTGCTGGCAGGGAATTTCTTTTCTGGGATCGTTATGTGCAAGTTTTTTTTCTGTCCCAGCACCATGTACGATTTTCTCTCTTTCGCAGCATTTTTTTCAATAGCTTATACTATTTAGATTCTTTAATTATAGTTAACGTTGAGTCTTCTAGCTTCATGCATTGCTTGGCCTCTTTTAAGGCATGGCCGTAGGAAGCTCTTTTCGATTGGGGGGTAAGTGAGGGCAAAATTTGATCTTAGAACTTCATTCAGAGAATGCTATTGAGCATAAGAGTGTATCATTATTTACTAAAGCAAATTGTATTTCCTGTCATAATATACTTGAATAATGTCTTTATTGATTTCTAAGGTTAGTTCAACCTCGTACCCAGGCTCTTACCTTCGCACGCTGAGGTTAGTTAAGGACTTTTCTTTACTCCAATATGTGGGAGTCATTTTGTCTACAATTTCCCAATGATTGCATGCATTATACAGGTACCGGTAGCTCTAGCTTATTTGTCTTATTAATATTGTATTGATATATTTTTTATTAAATTCCATGTATACATGTTCAGTGATGTATTAAGGCTCACAAATTTTCTTCATTTTAATGCAGTGTATAGGTTTTGACATTAAATTGGTCGAAATGACCAAAAAAAATTAGTTGAAATGACCAAAAAAAATTGGTCACCTGGATGCATCTGAGAGAACCAATTAGAAATGGTCGTTTTAACCAATAAAATTAACCATTTTATTAATTGGTCAAAACAACCAAAAATATCTGGTTATATTATACACTTAATGTCTGCTCCCGAGGGAAATAGTTAGTTTTGTTTTCCCGAGAGTCTCAATGTTTCCCGAGACGAAGTCGAGGGAAACATTGAGATTCGAGGGAAAACAAAACTAACTATTTCCCGAGGGAACAGACATTAAGTGTTTTGTTATATAGCGACGAACAAAAATCAACTTCAACAACATTCATATACAACAATTGTTTTTCGTGGCAAAAACTCTATAGAGTAAACGAGTTTAAAATTAAAGAACCTACTTAAACGGTTTCGGCAGCATATCCTGTTTCCTGTTCTGTATTTTTCTTCCCTTTTACATTATTTATTTGAACACAAACTTGGAAAATCGTAGTTTCTAATTATCGTAGTTGTGCCGCCATTTTGTTTATTTATATATGTACGTGGCCGGTCGGGGCGGGCAACAATTTTTCACTTGTTGCCCAGCGGGAAACATTGCATTTATCTGAAGTCACGTGACCACAAATCAGCCAATCACGTTTGGTGTTCACGCTAGCTATATAACAATAACCAATTATTATTGGTTGAAATGACCATTTTTTTTGTCATTTCGACCAATCAGTTTTTACAGTGCACCTTTGGTGGTTTACTCGGTTGTCTCAGAATCCTAAGTATGGCCTGATCTGCTGCCCTATGACGCATACTTATTAGTTAAACCATGCATATATATGCTGCAGGTAACTGCAGCAACAGACTTGCCGACTGGAACTTCTCCAGGTCCCCCGCTAAATATGTCCCCTCCAGTTACACATCCTTAGAGGGCCGTAGCAACTGGGGGGGGATGGGCTGCCCCCCCCCAATAATGATCCAATAAGCATTCTTTTTTCAAAATCATGCAAACCTTTATCATTTATTGTATTTTAATCCATGACAAATTGCAAAGAATGAAGATATTACCCATACTTTCCTGCAATTTATCCAATATATGTTTAACTCTTGACAGCTCAGAGAAGCTATTTCCAGCACTTTGAGGAGTTTTCCAACAAGAAATTAACCTTACACTAGTTTCTGAAAATCAAACCAGCTGATCTTCTGGGACGTAATTACTGGTCAAATCTATCGCTGCAACCATGCTGTTGTGCAACATTTTTTTCACCACCAAATAATGGGTCAGGATAATTTTTTCCCTCAGTTTGTTAGTGCAGGTATTTTTGGTTCAGAATAGCCTTGCAGGAAATTTTTTTCAAAATCACCCACCCCTCCTCCCTCAAAAATTAAATGGTCTGCCCCTAAAAGAGTAATATTGAAGCATAAACTGGTCTAATTGTTTTAAAAACATGCCTAAGCCACGACAAAGTATTCAAGGTAAATGTTTTCCGTCTTTGTTTTGTATTTTTTACATTTGTAGCTACGAAATTGGCGTCACCAATTTTAACGAAATTTGGAATGCATTTTTCACTGTTTAGTGCTTCACAAATTTGCTAAAATTGACTGGATATACTTAGAGATTTCATCGTAGAATGGCGTAGTTACATTTATTTGCTCTTTGACTAAAATGTTTAGCTGTATATTATTGCTAAACATGCCGTTTTTGAGAATTTGGTTTACAACTAGGTTTCAACATCCAACCACGCCATTATCGCATTGAAAACATTAGGTCACGTCAGCAAGTTTCCTATCCATTTATTTTATTATCCATGATATCTAACAAACCGCAATCAAATATGTCAACTAAATGGATCTGTTTCTTCTAAACGTATAATTTAGTGTGTGGATAGATTATTAAAAAAAGGTCATCAACTTTAGGGTTAGAGTTTGGATTAGGGTTATTGTAATTGTAGACTCATTACAACCCAATACTTTATTGCATACAATGGCGTTACAACTACTGTACAATAGCTTATTGCTTACAACGTGCGGAACGACTGGTTCACGAGAACGAATTCATCTAGTGCAAAATGGGCCTAAGGAATGTTGGAGACGATTGTAGTGTTTGTGCATGCAATTGCGCTCCTTGCTCTTTTACTCCAAGTTTCATATTTTACAATGACGACAACTTGTGGTTAGAGATCGACAACTGAACCCTGTAGCTCCGTTGGTTAGGGCGCTGCACCGTTATCGCAAGGCCGCAAGTTCCATTCCTGTCAGAATGAATATAATTGCATTTTCGCAGCTGTTCCTGGTGTCAATAATTTATTTTTAAAAAAACTTACACTGGAAATTTCCATGCACAAATTAAGACTTTCAACATTAGTTCAATCGAGTGAGATGCCCCCCAAAATCCAAATCTGTATCTTCATAGTTAATAGAATAGATGGTTTGGAAACTCATTAGAATAACAAATACAACTCATTATTTTAGTGAACGTTTATTCATAAATATGGTCCTTTACCGTCACGTGTGTATTGTATTTTTGCCAAATCCACTAATAGCAATTTCCAGTTAACCCTATTGTTCGAATCACGGATAGGTAACTATGGTACCTTTCACAAACCTGTACTTTATATGTACTTCATGTAAGACTAAGTACATTTTGAGTCTTATTTTGTGTGTGTTGGTGTTGTGTACTCAGGTGAATATGTTTGTGATGTTACTTTGAGTGCCCGGTGCACACTCAGACTAACATCACAAACATTTTGAGTCTTACCAGCTTAATAATAATTACCAGTACCAGTCGGCTATGACTAAAATTTTTGAATTAACGCACCAAGTTCATGTGGAAATAGACGACAATATTTTTGGTCTGGAATACACAATAGGGCCATTTACACGGAACAAAATAAGACGCGACTTACATAAGACGCGACTTAAGCAAGACGCGAGTTTGTGGTATAAAAGGTACAAAATTCTTATGTAAGACGCGTCTTGGATAAGACGCGTCTTACATAAGAACAGGACTTTTAGCTGTTCTTATTTAAGTCGCGTCTTAAATAAGAAATTTTAGACAAAAAAGTCTAACTACACATGCCAGAAACTTGAAACAACGTAAAATTATTAGCCTTGCATATTAAAACAAAAACAACCAAAACAACATTATATAGCTATAGCAAATAAATAAGACCAAAGCCGTAAAGAACCATTTATGCGATAACTCCACTTATTTAAGTCGCGTCTTATGTAAGTCGCGACTTATTTTGTCACGTATAAATGGCCCTAATGTATTTTACGTGAGAATGCTCAGTTCTATTTTTAAACAATATTACGAAAGCATTCTATGCTATAGAGTACTTATTGTAAATATAAACCACAACACTCATTCACTATCTCCCAATGCATGTTTTGAATAGAATGTAAATATTACAAGAAATATTACAGCGAGCCAAAACTATCAACACGGTCTCTGGCATAAACAGATGAATAGCATCAATTAGACTTTCTCACGCCGCCATTTTTGGGGTACTTTTTTACCAATCCTGCGAGCGTAACACCACGTAACGGCGACATTTTATAAATTTATGGGTGTATGATGGTAAATTTACTCTGTAAATAGTTAGCTTGTTCGAAAAATTACAGCACCCCAAAAATGGCGGCGTGAGAAAGGCTAATTGTCAAAAGTGCACAGATAAATGATAATCATCTATCTAGGGGAAACTCGCATCTCCCACAATTACAATAATTAAACAAGACTTTCTGTTATAAATGTGATGAAAAAAAGTTCATCAAGTTTAGATTAGTGTCAAATTAATATTAAATTAGGGTTAGATTAAGATTATATTAGGGTTACAGGTTAGGGTTTCCCGTAGATAGATGATTATCATCTATTTGTGCACTTTTGAGAATTACTATCATCTATTTATCCCGGAGACTGCATATGTTGAAACTGTAGACCACTTGATAATACAGATGGGTTTAAATATTGAAATATGTGCATCTTATGGGGTCAACGGGGCTTAAATTCATCCGGTTTCGCAATGCGTTCACATGGGACGCATGGAACCGGACGAATTCCAGCACAGCTATAACCGTGCGAATTCGTGATCAAATAGAATTAAGTCTCGTTTTGTACCGGAATGGCCCTGAAATGAGATGGCGTCATGTGAACAGCGGAACCGGTCTTTTTCAAGACTTTTTCGCACGGTAGAGAATTGTGACTTACTGAGACCATCTGCTAAGCTAAATACTCCAAGACAACATTTATCCGGTTCCGTGTGAACATGTTGAACTGGACGAATTTAAGTACGGTTCCGAATTCATCCAGCCCTGTGTGAACATAGAATTAATCAACATTCCCGTTTCTGTGACTGAAATTCAATAGAATTTTACAACCGGAACGAGGGCAAGAAAACTTATAATTAAGATGCGCATAAATTAAAGAATATTTAAACCCGTCCGTATTATGAAAGTGGTCTATATACAAGTCGATGGGATTCTTGTACCCAGTTATATACATTTACTTCTTCTAAAATAGGAGCTTGTATAAAAATTCAAAGACTGTTAATATATATCTGCATGTCATGATCATGTCTTCTCAATTCTTTTTCACTTTCTGCGCAGTACCAATATTGCACGTGTTCACCTAAAACATACATGAATACAAATATTGCCTTTAAAGTCTCTAGGCCAATCCGGCGCGCGAACTCGAATGGTGAAGCCAAAGACAGGGCTATTGGACGTCAGTTTCAGTCCCTCTCCATTATTTTTGTCCGCGCGGTCTGCAAGGAGTGCGCCGTATTTTTCTTTTAATCGTTTTCTTCGATAAAGTCGGCAGTCAGTTAATATACAGTAGCTATATTGTACGTCCTTTCGTTATTATTTCCGCGGACACGAATACATGTATTCCCACGGACACGAATATTGTACGTCCTTTCGTTATTATTTCCGCGGACACGAATACATGTATTCCCACGGACACGAATATTGTACGTCCTTTCGTTATTATTTCCGCGGACACGAATACATGTATTCCCACGGACACGAATATTGTACGTCCTTTCGTTATTATTTCCGCGGACACGAATACATGTATTCCCACGGACACGAATATTGTACGTCCTTTCGTTATTATTTCCGCGGACACGAATACATGTATTCCCACGGACACGAATATTGTACGTCCTTTCGTTATTATTTCCGCGGACACGAATACATGTATTCCCACGGACACGAATATTGTACGTCCTTTCGTTATTATTTCCGCGGACACGAATACATGTATTCCCACGGACACGAATATTGTACGTCCTTTCGTTATTATTTCCGCGGACACGAATACATGTATTCCCACGGACACGAATATTGTACGTCCTTTCGTTATTATTTCCGCGGACACGAATACATGTATTCCCACGGACACGAATATTGTACGTCCTTTCGTTATTATTTCCGCGGACACGAATACATGTATTCCCACGGACACGAATATTGTACGTCCTTTCGTTATTATTTCCGCGGACACAAATACATGTATTCCCACGGACACGAATATTGTACATACGTCCTTTCGTTATTATTCCAGCGGACACGAATATTGTACGTCCTTTCGTTATTATTCCAGCGGACACGAATATTGTACGTCCTTTCGTTATCAAATTCCCGCGGACACGCGGGTTTGTTCATATAGCATAGTACTTTGTTTTCATGATTCCTGTATAACGGATTTTGTGTACTAATATATCGAGCAACCTTATTAAGGTTGTTTCAAACCAAACAAAGCTAACTCGATGATATCCATTTTCATAAAGGAAAACGTACCTTGGTGGCAAATCTCAGTGAGCTGAGAGTTTCTTGTAAGGAGTCCTCACGTGGGGATATGTTAACAAACATCAGACTAAAATTAAAGGGAATTATGCCTATGTTAAAAGAATCAACTACAGTATATATTGCATGCAGACCAGGCCACATAGCGTTAAGTCTGAAATAGAAAATCCACTGAGACTTTTATCTTATCATCGAAATCTTACCTCTTACTGTTCCCTCCAATCGAATTCTGGAGTAAATACGTTAACTTAGAATTCCTGTACGGTACGTGAGAGTCCTAGAAATATACCAGAGAATATAAGTATCGGAAAGCATTAAGTATTTTGAGATTGAACGCGTGCCACATACTGCTTCCTGTACTGTTGCATGGTGGGCAGTTTGGATTATCGCAACAAAACCTCTGGTCAGCGCTTTGAGACTGCAATATAGTGACGGACACTTCGCGAAATATGGGGGGGGAGATTTGGATTAAGTTGGCAACATGCATATATGAATTTCAATTTCATTAAATATGTATAGCTTAATTTATACCAGAAAGCTGAAGATTGATAGGGATACAACTACCTTTAAAATACAGGTAAAACTTTGAAATTTTACTTGTATTTTTCAGTTAGTTGAATCCCTCTGAACCCGCAGATTCCTGGTGTTATTGTCACTATCTACGCTTGCATACACGGACTGTTCGAGTTCAATTTATAGCCTACCAACGCTTTCATAGTTGAAAAATATTTGTTGCAGCTTTGTTACATATGCAGTTAATATTCGGCTTTCATTTGAAGGCTTTCAAAAACTATTAGTGTTAAGACATATATTGACATAACATCACAATTTGCTCGAAGTGTTAATACTAGTGTTTCGTGCTAAAGACATAGTACAGTACTTGAAAAATGTTTATTATAAGTAACAATAATAAAATAACCTGTTTAATAAACTGCTTTGCAGTATAAACTGAATTACACTGTAAAAATAATAGCCCATATTTGTTAAGTTTGTCGTTTACAACTAAACGAAAGTTCAAATGCTGGTTAATTAACAGAACTCAAATGTTGTATAGAAGATCTTGTAGTTCAAGAAGATTGTTATTGCTGCTTGAACAACCTTTCGTTTACAGTTAACTATTAATCTATCTTTAGAAGATAATGTAGTGTTTTGCTGAATCGTGCACAGTAATTTATTTCAATACATCAAAAATTAGGGATCCAAGGATAGTGTAAAGTTTCAAATTGAGAAAGACACTGCAAGAACTATATAGGGTCACAACCTAGAATTTCACCAACAACCAAATTTTTAATTTTCTAAAACTTCATTTGCATTGGCAGCTGTCGCTAAAAATATCCCCACGAGGTTACTGATATGCTAAACTTGCTTAAAACTATGATTATTCCCATCATCCTTTTAGCGCCCATACTGCACATTTGACTATTGTCTCAGTGACAACTTTTATTGAAATAGCTGTATAAGATATGTTATATAAAACAAGCACTACGACGTTGCATTCCATTACAAAAAAATATAAATCGAAAACACAGAAACGTAAAAAAGAGGCGAAAAAACTCGCATTTTAACCCCAACCGTTCCGTTCCGCATTTTCCCCCCTTATCCGTTCCATGGATCCGGTCCGTATCGCATCCGTTTCCGCATTTTAACCTAATTGTGACATGTTTCACAATTAACAGTTAACAAGCCTCATTGACCTTTGACTTATTCTCAAGGTCACGTTGTGTTTCACGAGTCACTTTCAGCCTTTCGCATGTATTCAATAATGTCACTGTAGATTTTAATAGTTTCACAGTTATAGCAGTGTTTATAGCAGTTTTGACCAGCTTTGATACAGATAGATTCTCGTAAGATCTGGTAGAGTTCTCTTTGTACTGAACACGAGCTTGCACCGTTGGCGTTGTGCTAGACATGTAAACAAGGTCCGTGACGGTACACGTTGGCTACCTCCTTGCCTTTTTCTTCTATTGCATAAAGCTTGCTGGCAAGTCAAGCGATTGGCGATAACACGTTGGCTATCCCCTCGTTTAAACTTTAAATAAAGAGCTCTGATGAGTCAAGAGATTTTCTTTGGTCTCGCAAGTTTATATTTTCTTCGTAAA